AGCTTCGTCATGCCGTCTTCGAGTCCAACGAAAGCTTCGCAACCTAAGATTGTCGATAAATTCAATGACGCTCTTTCCCAAGCGATACTGGAAACGAAGGCTGTCGCACACCTACCACTGGAGGAAGACGAGGATGCAGGGTCTCCGGTCGCAAGTGGTGTGGAAGATGTAGACGACTCAGGTACTGACGAGGAGCGCGTAGTCGTGGCGCCTAAGTTACCAAAGCAGTTTAACATTGTCTCGAAAGCGTCTGCTCTACGCAATAAGAAGCCATTCAACCAGAACGCGTTCCAATGTATGGACCCAGGTGCGAACGGCTATACATCCCAAAACCCGAACGCCCGTACTATCGAGATCCTCGATCAGATGTGCAAACATTACGATCAGATGCAGGACCAATGGCGCGTGCTCAGCTACCGCAAATGTATCACTACCCTGAAGAAGCAAACGGTCAAGATCACTACTGCGAAACAAGCTGCAGCCCTACCTTATATTGGCGGACGGCTCGCCAAGAAGATCGAAGAGATCGTACTCACCGATCGTCTCCGCAGGCTCGAAAGCACGCGAGATGACCCTCTCGACGTGGTACTCCGCCTGTTTCTCGGTGTCTATGGCGCTGGACTCGTCCAGGCCTACAAATGGATCAAGGCCGGTTATCGCACGCTCGAAGATCTTCGAACCAAAGCGACTCTTACTGAGAGCAACAAGGTCGGTGTAGAGCACTACGACGACTTCAACTCCCGGATACCACGCGCTGAAGTCGAGGCTCACGGCGCCGTAGTCACCAGAGAGCTGAAGAAGATCGACCCCAAGTTCAAAGCCACCATCATGGGCAGCTATCGCCGTGGCGCAAAAGACTCGGGCGATATCGACATGATACTTACGAAGCCCGATACTTCGCTTGCCGCTATGCGGACAATCATCTTCGACCGCCTCGTTCCTCATCTCTACAAGATCGGCTTCTTGAAAGCTTCCCTAGCGACCTCCCGATCCAATGACCCCACGGGTTCGAAGTGGCACGGTGCTTCCTGTCTCCCGATCTCGAAGGTCTGGCGGAGGATGGACTTCCTTCTCGTCCCAGAAGAGGAGATGGGTGCAGCGCTCATATACTTTACTGGAAACGACATTTTCAATCGCAGTATTCGACTGCTGGCTCGCAAGAAGAATATGAGGTTGAACCAGAAGGGGTTGTATAAGGATGTGCATAGGGGAAAGCGGGGTGAGAAGTTGAACGAGGGCGTTTTGGTAGAGGGTAGGAGCGAGAAGAAGATCTTTGAGATTCTTGGCGTGCCTTGGAGGGAACCGCATGAGCGGATCTGTTAGAGGGCGATATCTGGGGCGGATTCTGGAAACTACGAGCGGATGATTGATTTTGAGTAAGAGAGCCCCAGGTCAAATGATAACACATGTGATAATACAAGTATATTGGTACCCAACTCTGACCCTCTCTATACCCTATCCCCTTCAACCACTTTATGATGCCCCCTATTCATTTCATCACCCTCCATATTGACATCCAAATCCTGCTTCTGCTTCTCGAGCCTTCCCATGAACCACGCAACTACATAAACCCCGTACAGAACCTTACCCACCTCCGCCTCTTGCGCAGGTTTATGTTCTTGACCATCAATCTCTTCACTCTTCTCTGCCGTTTTCCCAATCCAAACATTACCCAAAAAGCACGACGCAACAATCGCCGCAGCCATGAACGGCATGATGGAGATCAGCGACCACATCACCGCCTTCGCAGCCGCATGCTGAACTTCCTCCTTGACCGCCGGTGGAAGACTATTCAGGAGGTCCAGGCTATGTGCCCCGGTGGCAGGCAGCTCGATGCCGCTTCCAGAATTGTCGATCGCAGCCAGGAAAGTGGTAAGCTTATTCGAGAAAACCGATCCCATCATAGCAATACCGACGGTCTCTCCCAGTGGCAACATGAAAGAAAGCAGCGACTGCATACTAGGCACCCTCGTCGACCAAATCCCCGCTGCATGCAGCACAATCGGCATAAAGCGAAGTCCCGTTCCCGCGCCTGACACCGCAAGAAAGACTTTCACCATCGTAACATGCCTGATAGAAACCGCGTACGTAAGCAGCGCCAACCCTACAGCCTCAACAACCGACCCGATGAGTAATGGGACAAAAGTTTGTCTTAGCCATTGATTACACAGTCTAGCTGCGATGAAGACACCAACACCCAGACCGGGTGTGTAGTAAAGAAGTTGCACGCCGGCCTGACTGGACGAGTAGCCTTCGGCGAACTGCCAGTAGTAGGATATAAAGTAGAAAGCGCAGACCATGGAGACGCCGGCGGAAAAGTTTATAGTCATCAGAAGGGCTGTGTCTTTCTTGCGGAAAAGCGTAGAGGGTATCATGGGGATCTGACGATGGAAAAGTCTAGCAACCGCGCGGTCAGGACCGAGGAGGTATTCGTACGTGAAGAACGCGATGCACAATACGATTCCAACAACGAGGGGAGCGATGACGGGTGCTGAGCCCCAGGAGTATTGTGTGCCGCCCCATTGGATCGCGAGGATTATGCAGCCGACGCCGAAGATGAACATGACGAGGCCGGGCCAGTCGATGATTGCGAGCCCGGAAATGTAGCCTAGACGCCGGGATTGACCTGGTGAGACAGAGGCGCGGCCGTGGAATAGCTCTTTGCGCATGACGAAGAAGATGATGAGTATGGAGAGGACTGCGACGCCGATGGGGAGGACGAATATGTAGCGCCAGCTTGCGTCTGCGAGGTAGCCGCCGATTACTGGGCCGACGGCATAACTAGTAGAGCATGATCAGTATTGTTCTTTCAGCTGCAAACTGAAGGCAGACTTACCTGCAGCCACTAATCAAAGACAAGATCGAAGTACTCCTCGAAGTCTCCGCCAGCGTCGCCCCATCAGACACTATAATCCGGCTCAGGCTCATGATACCCGCAGCGCCCAAGCCCTGCAAAGCACGCCCCGCAAGTAGCATGCTCCAGGACTGAGCCGTGGCACAAATGATACTGCCGATGGTGATCCAGAACATCTGGAATTGGAGTGCGAAGTGGCGGCCGTAAATATCAGCTAACTGGCCTGACGCGGGTATAAATGTTGTAAACGTGAGCGTGTAGGCGGCTACTATCCAGTTGAAAGTACCGGAGAGTTGATCTGGGAGATTATGTTAGTACTTCGGTATATACATAGATGGGATGGATGGCATGAGCGGATCGACGTACCGAAATGAGTCGATATAAGTGGAATAGCAGGAGCAACGATAGTAACATCCATAGCAGCCAGAAAGTTAGGCAACACGAGACCTAGCATCAGTTTCCATTGTCGGATGTTTCTTTGGCGCGCTTCTGCTTTCTGTCGTGCTGTTTCTTCTGGGATGAGGAAGTTGATGTGGCTTCCTGTGGCGTCTTGTGATGGTCCATGGTGATGTCCAGTAGAGAGGTCTTGGAGCTCTTGTCCTGGAGCTGGTTCGGGTACTAGATGGGAGTCATCTGTAGTTGGGACATGCTTTTGAGCTTCGCGTTCCCGCAGCTTTCGTCGGATGAGTTTGAAGAGGTATATCGCCATGCTTGAAAATTGAAAAAAAGGGCGAAAAGAAGATTACCGCGGAAACAAAGACAGATGAGCTGCTTACCGCCATCGTCGCAGCAGTTGACGCCTTATATCCTACTTTACATCTGCGGTTACGCGATGCTCGCCCAAATAGGGAATCGCAGAGTCGTGGAGCCTGCGTGGCTTTGCACCGCATCTCAGGCTCCCAACAGCCTAGCAACCAGTCTAAGCCGACTTTGGTCACAATATGGGTCTCTACACATAACACGTACGAGTTTTGTGCTGCGCATTGCGGCCATGGCGAGGAAATCTGACTATACCTAGTTGGGTCTCCTTCGCGGACCAATCACAGATCACATTCAGCTATCGCTATCCTCTTCGGCTAATAGTGGCGCAGCCATGGAGTTGCGATTGGTACATACCACAGCGATATCACCGCCTGTCAGACGAGGCCTCCCGTACGGCATGGTAGTGATGGGTCTCTCGCTGATGAGGCTGATAGGGATCGGATAAGGGTCAAGCCTTCCTAAGCTTTGTCAAGCTTTTGTTGGCAGCATGCCACACATGCTCCCGGTGAATGCTGCTTGTGGCCTTCAATTTCCGTGTCCTTGGACCGTCATCTGATTGAGGCTGTGTGTGTTATGCCTGGAGAACTGGAGAAATTGTCGTAAATTCGTGAAGTGCTTCACGCGCCCACCGTGGTGCTTCATGATGAACGACGCTATGACCTGAGGAAAAGTACAGGTTTCTAGTATACTGTACATATTTGTGGCGCTTTCGTGGATGGATGTAGATTGAATGTTGCATGTTCCCCTTGCAACACGTGGGATGGGCCTGTGTCTGGGCCCTTAAGCTGTCCCGTTGCGTATCCCGCTAGTTCTTTCCGCTGTGCATCGGCCGAGAATCTTAGGAAGCACATGATCTTCAGTGGTCTCGAGGGCGAGAGATCTGTTGCGAAGAAGGGCACACGCCCTTGACCTAGACTCCGGCGTTGTCTGCGTTCCTTGAGTCTCCCTCACAGCTCTACGTTGGAGTTTCGGGACCCCGTGGGAGTAGCTGCAGTATCGAGGGTTTCTGGATGCATGTTCAGACCAATCAAGTCTCTGAGAGGACGGCAGAGATAGTCAAGGGCGACACGAGTGGTGGGTGTCCTCAGCATAACCTTAGTGGTAGCGACGCATGGTTTCTAGAAGCTGGAGGCGGGCTGGTAGCTGAGGTGTTGGCGCCCTCTAAGAAAACTTCTGTCCTTTTAACGAAGATTTGAGATGAGAGTCGAAATGGATGGAGTTTTGATATGTGCAAGTAGTCGCGAAGTTGTAAGGCTAATGTTCGCAACGGATTCCACGGGCCAGGCCGCCATCATCCACGCTTGGCCATGACGCAACCACAATCACGTTCGGAAGCGTCCATCTCGAGCCACACCTCCGTGCCGCTCTACCAACACCTCCAAGCATGCAACCCACTATAGCGGTCCCCGCCGTTGCTGCGCTAGTCTACCGAGCATACTCTCGCAAATCACTGACTCCAGTCGGTATTCTGGTGGCCTTCGCGACAGCAGTCGTGCATGTGTTGCACCCATGGAGTGTATTCTTCGTGCTTCTTGCCGTCTTCTTCCTGGCCGGTAGTACTGTGACGAAGGTACGTTTGATGAAGAATGCGATAGACGAGTACTAACACGAGACAGGTCAAACACGACATCAAAGCGAAACTGACACAGTCCGCGACGGGCGCATCTGGTGGTGAAGGCGAGCGCAATCATGTTCAGGTCATCGCGAACTCCGGCGTAGCCTCGGTGTTACTCTTGCTGCACCTCTGGCAGCTAAGGAAAGAAGGGAGATACAACGACCAGGGTCTATGTTGGCACAAAGGGAGTGATGCCCTGGTCATAGGCATTGTAGCGTAAGCGAGTGTACTTCATGTCATAGCATGTGATTGCTAACATACTCTAGCAACTACGCCGCAGTCGCCGCCGACACCTTCTCCTCCGAACTCGGTATCCTTTCGAAATCAAAGCCACGTCTCATAACAGCTCCATGGCGTGTCGTCCCGCCAGGCACAAATGGAGGAGTGACTGCGACTGGACTTGGTGCAGGCCTACTGGGGGCGTTCATACTCTCAGCTACATCTACGCTGTTCCTGCCCTTCTGTAAAGACTGGAATGTGTCCGAGAAGATGACCTATACACTTGCTCTGACAGCTGCTGGCTTTAGCGGAACACTACTCGACTCGCTTCTGGGTGCTCTGGCTCAAGCGAGCGTTGTCGACGTCCACTCTGGAAAGGTCGTAGAGGGCGAAGGAGGCAGGAGAGTTCTCGTGAAAAGCAGCCATCCTCTTCATCTTTCCAAGACAGGTCAAGTGCGCAGTAAAGTCAGCAGTCGTGCGGAAGGCAAGGAAGGCATTGCAAAGACGAGCGGAGCGGACACTGCGGCGTCGATCAAGGCATCGGAGACAATGATGAGAGCTGGGGGAAGCGGCAATGCAGTGGTGGATGCACAGCATGAGAGTCGGAAGATTGAAGTCGGGAGCGATCTGCTGGACAACAATGCTGTCAACATTCTCATGGCAGCTATGGTCAGTGTAGGGGCCATGGTCGTCGCCTGTGTGGTTTGGGATCTGCCGTTGAGCAGCATAGTCGGGATCTAGCTGTCCGCAGCTGAAGGTGTTTACGTAGCCATGATTCATGTTAGACAACCTGTCTTGAACGTTTGTGAAGTGGTGAGGTTGGGATTTGGAGCATCGATATGGCTGTGCCAAGACCGCGCTAGTCGGGCGCGTCACCTCCGTAGCCTGGAGCTCCATCGATAGCAACAGTTCGACATCCCGCCTTCGAACATCACCAACACCTCAGCCAACTAAACCGTGTGTTCGAGGTCGAACTCTTGCAACAATCAAACCAATACCACGCCGCAAGTCTCAGCGCCACATTTAAACAAGATGGTATGCTATTGGCATCCCAGCGCTCATGTACACAGTGCCCTGGTCTAACACTTATCCAGTCTCTCCGCATCGTCCCCCACAAGGCGCACTCCACGCAGACCGCTCTGGAGACTTCAGCCCCTTCAGCCCCCGGTGTGCACGATACCCTGCGCTCTCGCCTCGGCCAAACCACCACAGCATCCAGCGCCGCCTCATCGTCGACAGCACCCGTCGCTCTCCAGTCCGCCCACCCTCTCGAGGCCCGTCTCACCCAATGGCGAGACACCCAAGACCGCCTGAAGATGGAGATGCTGAGGCGACAGTTTGGCATCGCAGAGCCAGTGCGTAGGGGTATGGAGCTCAAGATCGCTGAGGCGGGCGAGTGGAGGCCAGCAACTCTAGGTGGAAGTAGCAACGTCCACCGGGACATCCTGCAGGGACGGGACACGGAGATTGGCTGGGAGGATGTCTTCACTGGAAACGAGCTGCGTGAGGTGCCAGACTTCCACACGGAGATTGAGCACAAGATGAAGATGAACTGGTAGAGCGTTTATGGTGCTTGGGCAGAACACATGGATGGCATACTGAATGCATTGGTAGCGACGCTTCATCCGCCCAAGCCCTACGGACCGTTTACGATATGAACAATCGGCGTTGGCATAGAACCAGGACACGAATGAAATAATGATACGTTCACCAGCATGGCTTGACTAACCTGCATGTCTTTTCTCTTGGTCGACACTGGAACCGAATGTAACCGGCATAATTGGCGAATCAATATGGACTCGGATCACTAGTTTGGGTATAAGGTCGGCAAATGGCATGATGGTTATTGACCCTTGGTACGAAGAACTTGGTCTTTCATGGCTGATCACCCTCAATAGCTGACTCGTCCTTGCTGAAGGGAACTGTTCCAGCAGCTGTGCATGCCTCAAGGTTGCATTCTGGTTTTGCGTGACTTGTTGATCCCTCGTCATAATGATCTGATGTTCGACAGACATAGCGTTCTGGCAACTAACTAGGGATGATGAAAACGTCAACACGCATATTCTGTGCTTATAACATGGTGAACAAGACAGTCTACTGTCATTCCCAGGGTGTCTCGGAACGAGCCCCGGGTCCACTCGGACTGCTGTGCATGTGGCGTAAAGCAGATGCATGAACAGCTCAGCTGACCAATAATGGCCATGGGCATGCAATGCAGGGGCAGACGCTTGGGGAGGCAGAACCTGGCGCGTCGCGGGCCTAGCAGTGTAGGCAGTGACAGGAGAAGCACAAGTCGGCTGGCTGTGAGTTTGCTGGTACACGTCTATCGGTACCAGCAAACATTGGGCGGGTGGCATAAGCCCAGGTATTGAGGCGGTGTTCTCGGCTCAGTAGTGGCTCTGGGTGGAGACGGCGGGTCGCTCTTGCCGCGTTTGCGGATTGCGGAGAAGGGCATAACAAGGCGGCGACGGCGACTTCCCAATCGCGCACGGTCGCCCGACCTTCTCTCTCACGCCCACAGGCCCGATACATCTCAACACCAAACTATTTTTCGCTGCCGCGCCCTCTGCAACGACGACGTCTGCCCGGAAGAATCCCCCCGTCGTGCCATCTTCGTCCACTCGCTTGGTCCGTCCAATCGCTCCCCTTTCGCATCGCCGCCGCCCGTCGCGAGTGCAGTCGGCCGACCACCATGGCGTCTACAGCGGACCAAGCCCCCACGGCACCGCAAACCACTCCACAACAGCCCGCCGCAGGGTCGCGACCGCAGAGCAGCAGCGAAGGCCTGTCGTCCAGCCCCGTCGAGATGCGGACTCTCCAGGCGTCGGGCGCCGTCCCAGCTCCCGCCAGCACGAGCACACACGTCGCAGAGACCCCCGTTCCAGCCGCGATAGCAGCTTCCACACCACACGTGGCCGAAATCAGCGCCTCTGAGGACGCGCCCGTCGCTGCTGCCCCGTCTGCGAAACCCGCACCGCCTGCTGCGTTAAATCGCGCAGAGACCGAGGCGATTGGGCCGTCGACCGATACACCAGCCGCGAACCCAGACAACACCAATGGCCCCGTGCTGGTCATAATGCTGCTCCTCACCAGCGGCTCGAGACACCCCTACAAGATTGAGGAGAAGTACCTCAAGAAGCGCAACGTCAATGTCGAAAACATGGACCCCTACAACATCAGCGTATACACGCTCAAGGAGCTGATATGGCGGGACTGGCGAGAAGGTACGCATGCGCATCTCTTCTCTACGTGGCGCAAGAGCTGGGAGAAGCTTGGCTCGACAGTGGGGTGGCTATGTTGACGTCTTCGGTCTTGATCTGCATGGTGCCCAAAGAGCATCCCTTTGCAGCCTTCGTCGTGCAAACGCTAACTCGTCATTACAGAATGGGAGACCCGGCCCACATCGCCAGGCTCAATACGACTGATACACTTTGGTCGCATGCTCGACGACAAATCCCCACTGAAGGGTAAGCATCTCAATCTCATCTCATCATGTCAACGTTCTTGGCACGGCCCGTCCAATCGCTCGGCACATGCCGATCATTGGTTAATGCAGCCACGACGCGCAGCCCGCATCGATAGACACTCCAGACTCCAAGGCCAGCTACTGACATCGGACAGACTGCCGGTTCCAGACAGACTCGCCTAACGTGGTGCACATGACAGTCAAGCCACAGGAAATGGTGGACGACGAGGAAAACGCCAAGACAGGCAAAACTGGCAGCCGAAGAGACAACGACGAGGAACCTACAGCTGGCTGTCGCTGCATCATTTTATAGGCATGTGATCAGTCGACGACACTCTGGGTCCGCAAAAGTATATACAACATATCGCGCGCAACGGTGGACCAAGTCTTTGGCCCGTCGCTTTTCTCATCGTACCCTTCGAGGGTGTTTCTGGTTATCATAATTGGCCGTTGCTGGCGGCTTTGGGTCGCGGCGTTTTGTGAAGCGAAGTTGGGTACTTTCCTCACTCAACACAGTCTAGTTTCTGCTTCCTTGCGAGCATATGGGGTTCGCAGTAGTTTGGAGGTCATTTTCTTTATCTTTTGTATAAGTACGTACATTTTCTGCCGAGGGAGTATCGCTGGGTCAGGGGAACATGGGAATAGACCGTATTGAATCTTGTGACAATCCTTTCTCATGTGAAGTAATTGGAGTAGACGAAAGTGACAAGCGATGATGGTCGCAATGCGAGACGCTAGTTGGGCGATGGTATCGTGTCAAGGTGTTCGCAGCTGCCAGGTGGACCCTGATCCCGAGGTTGCGTTCGATGCCGTCATCAACACTTGAGCTAAGCTCCGATGTCTCTTCATCACACCACACACCATCACGACTCAATTCCACACATACCAACATGGTGCTCCAGGACGTCGACAATACAGCCCCGGAAGGCTTCACAGATAACCCGTACCCCTCCTCGGACGACCCGTATGCTTCCGCGTCGCCGCCCTCCTCAGGCGCTCGCTTCGACGCGAGCGTCCTGCCCCAGCCATTACCGATCATAGGCACCTTCATGGGCTTCTCCGACCGCGCTGTCCGCTTCAAGACCGAAACTACCCTCAAATTCGCCGAGCGCAAGGTCGGCCGTCAATTGAACCCCGAAGAAGCGCAGGCGCTCGCATACCACATATACCAGCTTGAGCAAACAAAAAGCTATTTCGCCGCCACGGGTGCAGCTGCAGGAACGTACCAATGGTGGAGGACTATGGATAAGATGAAGTATCCCTTCTACCAGCCAAAGGTGGAGGACATTGACCGGAACAAGTTTGGTCCGATCAAGGGCAACATGGCCATGTTTGCACGACACACATGGCGATTCAGTTTGTACGTTTTGGTGGCAGGACAGATGGGCAACATCATCGGTCAACTACTAGCGCAACCTTTGGCTGCGGTGAATACCTCGAATGATCCGAAGCTGGAGCAGTTTGGGCAGGAGTTGAAGGCTTCATCGCATGCTGAGGGACAGAGGACCGCACAACAAGGACGTGAGATCGAGGACAGGCGACGACAATTCCAGGAGCAGGTCAGGAACAAGGCAGGAGGTGGCCCGTCACCACAGGCTAGCTGGGGTAAGCAGCCTCAAGGGAACGCTGATGGAGGCGACGACATGAGCCCGACGGCTGGAAACGAATCGTGGGGTACCAGAACCGCCGGATCAGACACATGGGAGACGTTCTCAAACGACACATCACAACCAGCTCCACAACGCCAGCAAGCACCGCCCTCATCTCTTCCATTCGATGACGACGCTTCCCCCACTGGCGGCCTCTTCCAAGACGAAGTCAACAACCCACAACAACCCCAATCCCAATCTCAAGCAAGACCTGGTGAATCGTCATGGGATCGTCTAAGGCGCACCGGAGGAGGAGCAGCAGCGCCACTTCAAAGGCCACAGCAGCAACAATCGCGCAGAGCGGAGCCAGAGCGCAGGGAGCAAAGGGAAGGGTCCACGCTTGGAGATTCGTATACGTTTGTTGCGGGTGATGAGGAGAGGGCCAGGGAGAGGCAGCGCGCGCAGCAAGAGTTTGACGCTAGGTTAGAACAGGAACGCCAGGGACGTGATTTCAGTGATGAGGGAGGTAAGAAGTGGTAGAGGCCGTCATTCGAAGGTATACCAATGAACGATGATTGATTTGTCGTATGCATGTGCGTTTCCCCGATTCATCTGATTCACGGACTCCTGACTTCTCACAGTGTGGTCACATGCGCGCTTTCACTTCCTCGTCTGCGGAGTGGAAACTCTTTAGGCTTCTCTTGCTCGCTCCCATATATTCGCTCACTCGCCGCGTTCACTTTTTGGAATATCACTTAAATAACCTGCTCTCTCACTTCTCAACCTTTGCACAATCACCCAGCAGCCAGCCGCCGACAATGAACGACGACGACTACGAAGCGAACGACAACTTTTGGAGTGACTTCTGGCCGAGCGATTGCAGCCCCGAGGCCTTACACCTAGCTTTGGCCATGAAGGAGTCTGGCGCCGACATTCGCCCAACTCAAAAGGGCTTCGAGGTCAATCAGAAAGCAGGCCGCCCACATCCCATCATAGGCGACTCCCCGAAATGCTGTCCCGATTCTAAGCACTGGACCATGGACGACGGTGACTGGGTCTGCGTTGGGTGTGGTGCGGTGTACGCGCAGGACTTTTTTCACCAACCCGCGCAACCATCTCTGGCTCCACTCCTTCCTCCTACTGACCTGGCGGTCAATGGAAATCTCGTTCTGCCGCCCATGTCTTGCTGCCTGAAGCCTGACCCTCGTGAGGAAGGAGATGAGTGGACGCTGTGCGACCGCTGTGGCCAGGAATACTTCGATTACAAATATGATGAAGACTTTCAGAAAGCGATCCAAGCAGGCTCGGGATTTGGTACTGGTGGGCCGACGTCTGGTGAGTCAGGGCAATCGATGGGTCAGCAAGCGGAGACTTACTGGAGGAACCAAGGTAAGAGGATCCCATTATTTTTCTGGTGAGGACTCATAGCTAACTTGTGCAGCCGATTCGTACATGCACAATCTTCGTCAACCAGCAAATCTGAACCACGCTCCTCTTTCGACGGGATCAGTTACTGGCTCGAGTGACTTCCAGGCATCCACCGCCTATACACGTCGTCGTCTACGCGCACCGCGTTCTGAAGGCGATATTCGAGCACTGGGAGACGAAGACGACGAGAATCTTGCGGCTTCTCTCCGTGTACCTTCCTTCAACCCAATCCTTCCGCCAGCTCCACCAGTCAATGATCCCACTCCAGGACCATCGAAGCCCAAGGCAAGACGCGCGATAAAACCACCTACTATCACCTCCAACGTTCCGGTGCGACCCCGTCTGCCTAGATATCGCACGCCCACTCACTGCCTCACTTGCATGGCAGAAGAGGGTATCCGCAACATGAACTGCACACTCTGTCACCAGTGTCACTCCGAACGTCATACCACCGGTAGGTGCAAGATGTTGAAGCCCAAGTTCCACAAGTTCATGGAGCTTTCTGTGGAGCTACGTCAGCGCATCTATGCGCTCGCGCTCGATACAGACCGACCCATCAGGCCTCATCTGTGCGACTATACCGACGATCAGATCGTCCAATTCCACGACGATAATGCAGAGCATCACTTCGCGACTAGCGATCTCCTCGGCATCACCCGCGTCAGCAAGCAGGTCCGCGAGGAGTCACTTCCCATGTTCTATTCCGCGAACACCTTCTCCATCGGTTATGATACGTCGACTTATTTCGACCGCCTTGCGTACCTGGGCCGTTTCCACCTGGTTCGCCACGTCCGGTTCCAGATCGATAACCGCAAGGAGTCCATGTCGCCCAGCATTCTGCGGCGTTTGAACCAGTACATCAAAGAAGCAGATGTTTACGAGAAGCAGCTGACCGGTCCCGTTGGCCAGCATATCTCATCGCTGAAGAAGCATCCCCAGTACCTCTACGGCGGCTGCCCCGAACTCAACACCCTCATCACACTCATGAAACTCACCTCGCGCCTCGACAACCAGACCAAGAACCAGTACGAAGGTAAAGGCAAAGGCAAAGCCACCGATATCACCACCAGCAGCCCACCCTTCCACTCCAAGCTCGTCGTCCCCGTCTCCTCCGTACCCAACTTCATCGCCTACACCGCCTACAAATGGTTCCCAACCGTCATGTACGGCCTCGGCATCCAACTGCACTACGTCGACAACATTCCTTTTGCCTTTGTCGATGGCGGCACTGTCGGCATTACGTGGGAACAGCGGCTGCAGAAGAAGGACTTTGGCGATATCCCTGATTACGTTGATCCGGTGGATAGTAGCGGGCAGACGGCGGCGTATAAGATGGCGCTTAAGCTGGATCCTGGGTTAGAGGGGAGGCAGAGGCCCAAGGCGTGGGCGTATTTGAGGGAAACTTGTACGGGTGGGAATTCCCAGTGGTTTGATTTGCCGACTGAGGGGGGTGGGGTTGGGTATTAGATGGGGGATGGAATGAGAGGGTGATTGATTCGGATGATGATGACAGGATAGATAAAATATGAGAGAAATCAATGCCTTAGCATGAAGCCACAGTACTCCATGAAGAGTGTTTCTAGAAAGACAAAGTTGCTTGTGGGGAGCAGTCCCATGTACTAAGACACGTGAGGCTAGAGCACCTGCAGGCTGACTGTAAACAGGCAGGTACGTCCCACCCATCACATCTGACATCTCACATCACATTTCACCATTACCATTTCCCCCTAGTTATTTTATATACACTGATTATGTCACTCTGCATTACTTGTAGCTCCATACCCTTCCGCGCGCTCGCCCGCGGCGACCATCCTCCAGGCTGGAAAAAGAGCTCTTGGATCGACGACAATGGCATACCCTGGGGCCACGACAGCGAAACATGGATATGCGACAGACGCCAAACCACCTTACCACTATTGAGCAGAAGCGCTTTGCAATGTGTAATATGCAGCATGCTCATACGGGATCTGGAAACACGGCCGGTTTACGAACGAGTCGCACAGGAACAGGATATGGAAGTCATCCCAGCATGGCTTCATCTATCCGAATCTGAGACTTACGGCTCTAAACTTGATCTTTATCTAGACAAGGACATGCCTGAAGCTACTGCTGTGGAGTTTCGAAATAGATTTGGTATGTTTGGATAGGATCTTGTTGCTGACCCATTGCGAGAACGCTAATCCAAGACAAGATACCCCATCTCCGAACTTATTCAAGCCAGTAAAATTAGAAGACTCGCTTGACCCAACGCCAGTGAAGCAATTTAGGGCTTGGTTTGATAAATGCAACGCCCGGCATGAGAGATGTTCTGCGATCCAGCAAGATTCGTTGTTGCCTACAAGAGTGCTGGATCTCGATGACATGCCCAGTTCCGACGCTCTAGCCGAAAACATGAAGCAGTGGCCAGAACTGTTTTCTCAATCCAAATGTAAGCTAGTCGAAACGACCGCTGGTCAGAAAGGGAAGTACGCAACGCTGAGCTATTGTTGGGGAAATGGGTTGCCGTTCATGACTACCACAGAGACGCTTTCAATGCGAAAGAGCAGCATCGGCTTTCAAGATCTTCCTAAGACGCTTCAAGATGCTGCTATGGTGGTTCGGTCTCTCGGCCTACGGTACGTATGGATCGACTGCTTGGCAATTGGTATGAACCGACTCCTCTGTATACAGTACATATGCTAATGCTTTTACTCTCGCTCTCAGTACAAGATGACACAGCAGACTGGGAAAAAGAATCGGCTGTCATGGCCGACATCTACTCAGGATCATACATCAACATTGCTGCATCCAACGCTTCACATTGCGGAGCAGGCTTCCTAGGACCACGGAAGATGCCAATGACTGAACGTATTGAAATCCACGATAGCGAAGGTGATCTAGAAGTATATCTCGTCGCTCAACAGACCCGCAACTACGTAAGCTCCATCCCCCGGGACACCCTCGTCTCCTCACTAACAAAACCCAGGCACTACCAAGCGACCCCCTCGAAACACGAGCCTGGGTCCTCCAAGAACAACTCCTACCATCCCGCTCCCTCCATTTTGGCAGCGCCAACATGTTCTGGCGCTGTCCCGACGGCATCTCGCACGAAGAGCAAAGGCGAGGCTGGACGCACCTCTACACCCTCGACGCCGTAGTCTACAGCATCAACCTTCCCATCGGTGCCGCCATTGGCCAAGACGCATGGTTCCAACTCGTCCGCGACTACACCGCCCGCGGGATAACATACCCCAAAGACAAATTCCCGGCCATCTCAGGCGTCATGACGGTCTTACAGCGTATGACTGGCGATGTCTGCGCCGCGGGACTGTGGAAGCGGAATTTCGCCAAGTGGCTCCTGTGGGTACCTAGACATGATGTCGCGCCCTTCAAAAGACCGGAGGTGTGGACGGCACCGTCTTGGTCGTTCATGTCTGGGGAAGGGCCTGTGGATTACGGATTAGGTGATCTTACTATAGGTATGAATACCTCGCTGCGAGGCTTCTGTGCCTTTCTTGAAGAATGCAGAGTCGTGCCTAAAGGACTGAATCCGCTTGGTGAGTTGAAAGATGGGTGGGCAAAGATCAGTGGGCCAGTGACGGATGCCATTGCTATTAGCGAAGATGTAGCGACAGGGAAGAGTCCGTATCGGTCGTGTAGGGTGCAGATGCGCGATCAAAGCTACCAAGATGCACGCGTTCTTTTTGATGTTGAGGCGTATGAGGCTTGTGAGGTTCTGATCGTTGCGCCGGCTTTGGGTGTGGCAATCCTTAGTACGGATAAAGAGCGGGGCGAGTATGTGAGGGTTGGACTGGTGGTGATTAAGAGGGTAAAATCCGAGGTGACGAAGGAAGTAAGTACAAAGACGGTGGAAAAAGGGAGGGTGACGAGATCGCTAACGTCGTGACAGCAATCGAAAGAGTGGTACCCTGAGGCAGAGGATTATTGTGAGCCACGGTCGATTGTTCTGCGGTGAGGCGGCGGACTTGGATGACAAATGTGAGGCGTGTCTGAATTACGTTTATCATTAGTGTAGAAGTCGAGCCACCAGTTGAATGAATGCTGAAATAACACTCATGGCTCTGACCGAGTTGGAGCGGGTCTGATTTGAGTGCTCGCATAGCCTCAGGACTTCGACCATGGTTCGCTACCGCACATATCCAGAGTCCAGACGACCAGAAAAGTAAGCGAACCATTTGAGCACCACAGAAGCAAAGCTGCGCATATATAAAGCGCGTCCTCAAATATTGGAAGTCACACATCAACATTTAACACTTCAACCCCAAAGCAAAAGATCTACAAGTTACCCGTCAACACAGTGCAAAGAAGTTATACCAAACGATGCCTTCAGAGAACAAACAACAATCCGATGAGATGACGGCCCTTCGAGCTCGATTCACGGCCAAGTCATACCATGAGCAGCTTTATGCACACCACAAAAGAGCAGCCACTGCCCCAGCTACAACAGGTCAGCCTACCAGATCTGAGCCAGCTCCGTACTATCAGCAGAGCTACATACGCCATCGGTCTGGATGCGTATGTACCCTTCCTTCATCACCCAAACAACAAGACAAAAGCCTCGAAGACGAACATGAGAGCGCGAAACATTTCGCTCAGAACTGGAATCCAATATGATTTCCCAAAGTGAAAGACTGGACAAACGACGATTTCCGCTCAGCGATACAGCACTGGACTTTTGATCGCAATAAGAAGAACACATCTGAAGCTATTGATGAAGCAGAAGCGGCACTGTATGATCCAAACAGCGGTTCCTGGGCTGGTACGCAAGAGTGGGTTAGAGAACAACACGTTTGCGAGACGGTATATGTATGTCTCTTGAAAGTGTTGAGAGGATATGGGTACTGGAGACATTCCATCACCCTTCGGTCCAAGTCTTGGGACGGCCAAAAGATAACGATATATCGCACGCAGGGGGCGGAGGACCTTCCCCTATGGCTTCAGTGTCATGGATTTGAGATTGAAGATGATGAGATTGTGGCTGATGAGGATGGGGAGGACGTAAAGAAGCTAGACGCTATGGTAGGGGAATGGCTTTCAACCTTAGAAGGAGAGGAAGTACCTAGGTAGATATCTTGGAGAGATGAACAAGATGGAATGAAGGGGGCAGGATGAGATGTTGTTTGTATGGGAGTTAGAAACCGGCGGTATATTGCCGCGCGATGCAAGATGCAGTATGATAGTGATTAAGAGGATCAAACGACGTGAGACCCCCTCATTAGGAGAGGTAACAATACGTTCCATGCTACAAAAACAATTGAGTAGAAGTATACATCATCTTCTATACTACCTACTTGATCAAATATACCACTATGTATGCAGCAACCGCATGATGCGACACAAGCTCCAGAAATGCCCATTGCCCTAACCTTCTTGTTCGTGGACGATGGGCGCGTTCATACACTCTAGACAACATTCCTGTGCGGTAACCGCAGAGCATGTTATCAACAACGGGTCTGGAGAGATCCTCAAGATCATAAAACTGCAGAGTATTGGATTGAATGATCGTAAGACATGTCTGACTGTTCGACTTAGAAAGAGACTGCAGATGATATGGTAGCAAAGCCCTGGGGTTCCCTGTAGCGGATGCCCGGAAATAAGCTACCCGGTAGAATGCGGGGAAGTCGACGGTCCCTGAGTCGCGTCTCTGCGACAACAACAACCTCGGTGCACCTAGCTTTCCCCGACTCCCTGCGAAAGGAAGCTTTTGCGATGAATCACATTACCTGTTCTCGCGCATTGTCTTTGGTACACCCGGTTGATTGGGGTTAAAGAGACGGATCGGTAGTTGTATCTTTTATGAACACCTCTGGAACCGGACGATAAGTGGAAAGTGGTCGTTACTATGGCATGTAAGCATCTACCTCTATCCTCTCGTGGTATTCTCGGATGTTGACTATCTTCAAGTACCCATAATCGCCGGAGCAGCAGGCACAGCAGCCCTAGCAGCCTACCTCAACGCGAAATATCATATTGCCCATGACCTTAGGCTTAAACGCGGTGCTCTCTCGCCGACACAAGATGTCCTCGACTTCATCACCGACCGTGCAACTCGCAAACGTGCTCTCACGTACCACGCTTTCGAAGACCAGGTCCGCAACCAGCCAAACCATACATTCCTCATCTTCGAAGGCAAAACCTGGTCATACAAGGAGTTCTTTGATGCATTCACCAGGGTGGGGAATTGGTTGATAGAGGACCTGGGCATACAAGCTGATGAGGTGGTTGCTGTGGATGGCGGGAACAGCCCGGAGTATCTGATGCTCTGGTTTGCTCTCGATGGGATTGGAGCTGTTCCGAGCTTCGTCAACTGGAACCTCACTGGGACAGGATTGGTGCATTGCGCAAGGGCAAGTATTCCTGGAACTGGGCGGATAGACACTGGCTGACTTCTGTAATAGCTATGCAACTGCAGATTCCTCATCGCAGACGCCGATGTCAAGAGCAATGTCGAGCCATGCCGTACGGATCTCAAGGAGACCGGCATCAAGATCCAGTACTACGATCCCTCGTTCTTCGCGTCGCTACCGAACCCGACTATTATACCAGACTCGCGTCGCGAACACATTACTATAGAGTCCCTCCGCTCGCTACTGTATACTTCCGGAACGACCGGGCTGCCCAAAGGTGTGACTTTGAGCACTGGTCGCGAGCTCTTGACTGGCTACAGCGCCGCCAAATACCTCGAACTGAAACCGGCATCCAGAATGTACACATGTATGCCACTTTATCACGGGGCTGCGCATGGCCTTTGCGTTACACCGATGGTTCATGCTGGCGGTACAGTCGTATTGAGCCGGAGGTTTTCGCACAAGACCTTCTGGCCTGAAGTCGCAGCTTCAGATGCGGATATCATTCAGTATGTCGGCGAGCTCTGCAGGTATCTACTCAACGGCCCGACGAATGCATTCGAGCGGAAACACAAAGTAAAGATGGCATGGGGCAACGGCATGCGCCCTGACGTGTGGGAACCCTTTCGTGAGCGTTTCAACATACCCATCATCAACGAATTATATGCGGCTACCGATGGATTAGGGGCGACATTCAATCGCAACGCTGGTCCCTTCACGGCGAATAGCATTGGTCTCCGAGGGCTGATCTGGAATTGGCGGTTCGGCGACCAGGAAGTGAGGGTGAAGATGGATGTTGATACGGAAGAGATCATGAGAGATGCAAACGGCTTTGCAATTAGATGTGGAGTGAACGAGCCGGGCCAAGTGCTGCATAGATTAACACCGGAGACGGTGGCTACTTCGCCAGGCTACTACAAGAACGAAGGCGCCACAGAGAGTAGGAGAATTAGGGATGTGTTCGAGAAGGGCGATATGTAAGTCACCCTTTCAAGCTCGTTGACTGCAAGCTTATGATAGTAGATGGTTCAAGTCTGGAGACATGATGCGACAAGATGCCGACGGCCGCGTCTTCTTCGTCGACCGTCTAGGTGATACATTCCGTTGGAAGTCAGAGAACGTATCGACAAACGAAGTAGCCGACATGCTCGGAAAGTTCCCACAGATCGCTGAAACGAACGCATACGGCGTCCTTGTGCCTGGCTACGACGGCCGAGCGGGGACTGCATCTATCGTTATGGCAGATGGAGTCACAGAGTCAACATTCGACTTCGCAGCTCTGGCAAAGCACGCGAAAGCAGTCTTACCGAGTTATGCAGTGCCGCTTTTTCTAAGAGTAACGCCTGCATTAGAGTATACGGGCACTTTGAAGATTCAAAAGGGTAGATTGAAGAAGGAAGGTGTTGATCCGGATAAGATCACTGGAGATGATAAGCTGTACTGGCTACCAGAGGGTAGTGATCGGTATCTCCCATTCACGAAGAAGGATTGGGAGGCTGTAGTAGAGAAGAGGGTACGATTGTCATAGTCTCTCTGTTATGACTGACCTCACACTAAATGCATCGTATGTTCTAAGAGCCCTTTCTGCTCCTGATTGAGTGCTACACCATGGCTTCAACGCTTCCTAGGGCCTACATTGACGTTCAGTTATCTACTTTGCAGGTTTTCATCTCGGTGTAGGCTGCAGACCTACTCAACCTCTTCCTTGTGTGAGGGGTACTGGTGACTAATTCAGGCCACCAAGGAAATCCATGTTCTCGAGTACAGCCACCGCCATCCCAGTTGGCCATCATCCACGTCAGTGTGTTGATCACTCACTACATATCCTCGATCCACTTTTGAACGACAAAAGACCCCACCGGGCATCAATCATCGTCGCCCTTTCGACATGCATCGCCTGCATTCTACATTCACTCCATGGCTGTACCATGGGGCTCATTGCGCTGATCTCAAAAACACCTTCAGGGCTGTACGCTACGTCCAAGGCGCAGCTAGCCCCATTGTGGCTGCATAGACGCTGGGGCGTAAGGGTCCACAAACCATGATCTTTCCGCCCACGACATTCGTCATGTTCTACGTTGCGGGTGACACACGTGGAAAGGAACGATGGCTAATGTGTTGGTTAAAAGGGTAGGTGATCGAGCCAATCAGGTGGCATGGGGTTGAACTTGCGTGCATTGTTGCGTGAGTCCCGAGAAGAGGGTCGAGTCCGGAGATTTGGTCTGTGGTCTGAGGTGCGACAGTTTGTCGCTTCATTATGGAATATACAACCAAGAATTGAAGAAGAAATTGGGGTATGCTTGGACTGTCGAGATGGCTTGTTGTGCTGTTGAGATGGAAAGTAAGTTTGGTTGGGGAATGGGGCTACGTAGAGGGGTCCTCCTGGTGCTGATTGTGTTCTACGTGTCTCTGAGACCTAAATGCGCCACCTGTTGTGGTTCCCGGGATGCCTTAACATACACAAGCATTGATGTATAGCCTTTGGCTGTCCAGCTTGATAGCCAACACGAAACAAGCAAGTGGGCAGCCAGGAATTACCTTGGCCTACATGATGGATCTCCTGTCAGAGAAGAGACAGAAGCATTAAACTGTCGGTAGATTTACCGGAGCGGAAATCTAGGTTGTAACCTTCGATAGTTTGCTGTCAAACTGTGAGGCGACGTTGGGCGTTGGGTAGCTCTGGCGTATTGAATCCCACGAGTCGCACTCGACCAACGCATCGTAATTACCCTTCAAACCATACTTTGGAACAAGCAGACCATGCGCTCCATCCACGAACAACGTTAGAATAAGTGAAGCATGATTCAGCAAGACGCGATCGTGATCAGTCGTCCCAGGGTAGACGAAGGGGACAACTGAAGCGAGCCGACAAGCGAAAACGTCAACCCGGATTCGATCAAACCTTCAATCGCCGTTTAAGCGCACCATTCCCCTTTGACCCAAAACAACAATGCGACACTTTACCCCAACTCACCTCCAACAAAACTATAATACACACAGATCTTCACGCGACAACCGCATACAGACGGTGTAGTCAAGCTAGCACCCAACTTCCCTAACCGCCACGCACCTGCCAATTTACCAACAGTAAGGAAAAGTCTCCGAATCCAGCCAAAAACACCACAAATCTCCCCCAGAAACTCTCCAGTTGGTCGGTTCGCTTGCTCCCCACCCCCTTTCGCAGCCCAGCCCCCACACGAAGGGGGGCGCGCAATACTGTATCGATCGCCATGCTCGAGTCCCTCATTTTCAGCCCTACAATCGCCCGCTGTCATCGAAACCAAATCTGAGGTTGAATCGTAATCATCGTTAAATTCAGCCCAACGGTTCTATTCCCATCTTAGATGGGGCAGACCAGAAACTTAGTAAACAGGTGGCATGCACTGGGCGTGTGATCGACCTAGCCGCCCACCAGCGCTCGGTACTCAACCTGTTACGCGTCCGGTGTGGAAAAAAGGGAAAAGGACCAACAATCATCTGCCGGACTTTCTGAACGGTGTGCGCAGGACTACGTTGGCAGTTGGTGCTTGGTGGTGGTTTAATCGGTGCGAGAACTGTGTATTCGGGGCGAATGTCGCGATGCATGGGTGACCGTGGCTAGGATCTGGTTCTGTCCTGGCTCTCCCTCACCTTCAAGTCCCTGACTCGACTCACCAACATGATCGTGGAAGTGATGCGCACGAATACCTGTCGAATGGAAAATGCCGGACGCTGCAGGGCTCAACGGCACATGGATTTTCGCTTTCATCGGGCTGGGCGCATCGCTGGACGGATACACCTCATTTACCAGAAAACGGGAATACTGGTAACACGGATTTCTTTGTTCCGCTTCGCAATACTGTACGGATTAGTACGAAGGCGGGATACGGGTTTTTACATTGGGCCGACTCACGACATATCGTCGTCAGGTTTGTTGTGCTATAGGGGGTTCGCGGAAGCTGGGGCAGGGGGTTTGGCCGCGTGCGCTCTTTGTCAATCTGAAGGTCTGGACAAGGATGGCATCGTGGGCACGGGTTTCCGAAGCTTCCGCCGCCGCACCGGACGGGCGAGGAGAGGGCGCTCATGACGCGATGCGACGCGTCGTCTTTCTGCTTTCGAGATGACGGTGTAGCAGCATGAGGATGAATGCGACGAAGACGGTGTGGAATACATGTCAGACGCCTACTTCTTACACCCCGCGTGGAGGGTAAATTCTCCTTCAGCCCTACAGCGCGCGAACGGTTGTCAGATCAGTAAGCCCTTGCGCGAGCAACCGCCGGTGGAGTTGACCCTGGAGAATTGGGTGCTGACATATACAACGTGGGAAATCCGGGGTATCAGATACAACTGTCCACCAGGGCAGTAACGTGAGCAAGATATGACGTGATTTGATTTGATTGCAAATGCGCTCCATGCATGGCCCCTTCACAGGAAGGATCATACTCCTGGAACCCTATACTTCCGCTGCGAATACAGTGTGACGGAGGAATCGTCTCGTGCTCGGATGTAAAAGACCGTCTCAACCCGTCCTCCGGGCAGCAGCGAAGTGCGAGAGGTGTCACAAATCGCCGAGACCCTTTGCTTCGGGCTCGCACGGGAATTTTGAAACTTTACCCCTTTAGGCAAGCGTTGCGGTCAATCCTTCTTCTCTGCATTATCCTGAAAGCGTTTAGGCGGCTTCGTACTCGCCTCTTTGCCGCTAATGGAACGTTATTCGTTGGTTCGTTTACATGTGAAATCCGCTGGGCAACTAGTTGCGAATTGAACGCAAGGCTGAATCGACAGGTACTAGTTGGGGCTGTCTTGTCGATGGTCCTTGGAATTCTTCGGCATCGGGGTCTGTGTCAACGCTACGGAGCGTTGTACGATATTCGATTCGCAAATCAAACTTAATCGCTCGAATCCAAGATCAACGGCGGTGGAGTTAGAAGGGCGTTATTACCGACAGAACGACCGTTGGGGACCGCCCAAAGGATGGACAAAGTGCTTAGCGGCTTGCGATAGTTACCGGCGCTAAAACATCCTGCCCAGGTGTCAAAGCTCTAGTATTAGACAGTTTCTGCGGAACAGTCACGTCAAGCGAGCCATGCGCTTGCTGACAAAGGTCGAGGGAGGCATACCTTTCGTAACGATCCTCGTGGGCGGTGCACGAACCCGAGTATGGCATGCGAGACAGTGCGACGCCTGCCCTGTACGCGACTAAGTGGCGCGGACGTTTCAACGGCCAACCTGAACGTATGTTTTGCGAGCAACGATACGTGTCGCAGAGCGTGACGGGGCGATACAAACTCTGCGCTTGTAATTATCGTATGCAAAAAAGGCTCAGGCGTAGCTGGTGGCCTTGCCGAATGGCTGCCTGCTGGTATGGGTCCCGGAATAGCATTTGCAGAAGAGAGCAACAGACGAGACACGGTTGAACCCGTGAAGGATGCTTGTGCCACTGTCCGTTTCACACCAGCCTCTCATGGTGCTTTCCACACAGCCGCGCCGGAGTGAGCTCCGTGCCGTGGCATCTCGCGCTCTGCACGTGACGAAAAACCGGTCACCGAGTGCCCGCTTGTTATCGTGGGATTACTAGATCGCATCCGGTATGCCGAGCAGCGAATTGCGCTCCGTCGAAGCTGTCGCGAGGCGTCGTGGCGCGGTTTGCGTACCGAGTGATCCGCATGCTTCTTGAACTACTCCCAGATGTGCAGTTGTGTGCAGTTGTAGTGCATGTGGAGACTCTTGTATCATTTCAAATTCGAGTTATCCATGATGTGTGGAATGCGTCACTGGTAGAGTCGCGCAGCCCCACTAGAGGCTGAATCCCACGAGGCGCAGGCTTCGCAACATGCTTCCGCATCAGGCAAGTTGCTGTCGCACGTAGGATTGCTTGAGACCTACCTGCGTCACATCTCTCGCCCTGCTGCTCCTCACGCTTGCGAAGTAAACTCGCTGCGTACGCGCAGTCTAGTTGGCTGCGCTCTCAAAGTTATTTCAGTTGGCTCATATCGATATGGTTACGCCGCAGACGCGTAGGTAGGGTTGCATCGGCAAGCAGCCTGACCGGTAGCTGAGAAATTGGCTTGATTGAAGGACTGCTAATGGAGGATGGAATATCAATTCATGGAAGGGCGAGTCTGTTTATGGCTCAAGCGGGTGACGAGCACCGGATGATCCAATGGTTCGGGGCTGTATGATCCCGTCTGGGGGACCGCGGGGTAGGTGGTGGGATGATGATTATTCAGAGATCGGCGAGGTTCTAGTGTCCGACGGCGTAGGCGTACTCGCTGACTTGCTAGAAGCAGTAGTTGATGCAAGGAAACAGAATGGAAACTATCCTTGTGTGTGTTTACGCTTTTCGAATACCCGCATTCTTTGCAGTCACCCTGCATGTCGTGAATAACAGGTTGTTGCGCAGAAGATCGACGGTGCAGGGTTGTACGGCTGCGCGCCCTTTGACACCCAAATCAATATCGCGATGCTTCAACGGACGAAGGCGGAGGTCAAAAGACTGACCGATCGCGATGCGGACTTAACGTGGCAGCGGTGACCTAACTTGGCTTT